GATTCAATTTCCGAAACCACGCCTAGTGGTATTTTAAAACAAGACATCGCGTAGACCACCATGGCTAACGCCACAGACTTGATCATAATCTCTTTTCCCGCAAGAGAAAGAAATTTTGCACTCCATCTAGCAGTTCTTTTTTTCACTCGCTCGATTATGTACTCAAACATTTCTTTTCTTTTTTTTTTACGCTCAAATTACTCCGGAGACCTAGGTACTTACCTCCTCCTCCGTGGTTTGGAATTGCGAGTATGCTTTTCAGGAAATCTTGTTTATATCCATAAACTCTCGACCCAAAGGTGATTATAGATTTCGAAGTGTTGATTTTTTTATCGGAGTAGTACTTATAGACTTCAAATGCCTCTTTCAAAGCAATGTAGTTCCTTTTGTTTGCTAAGCAAAAAAATAAAGAGTCGTCGGCAAACTGGAGATGTGTGATAGCAGGCACACCATTTCCAATACGAACACCCTTTAGTTCACCGGAAGTAGCCTTTCATCTTATTAAGTTTCTCAAAATATCCGTACATAATATAAAGAGATATGGTGAGAGGGGGTCGCCTTGACGAATTCCACGTTCTGGTGTGATTGAGCCAAACGGAGAACCATTAATGAGTACCGAATAATGGACCGTACGAACAATGGCCATAATCCAACTAATCCCTTTTTCAGAAAAACCAAACAGCCGCATTGTAGTTTCTAAGAAGTTCCATACGATACAGTCATATGCTTTGCTAACGTCCGTCTTCACTGTCATATAAGATTACGAGACTCGTTTCTGGCTTTTAATGAGTGCATATATAATCCTGTGGGCGATCATAACATTATATGTTATTAATCTTCCATGAATGAAAGCCGCTTGTGAATCAGAGACAATTGTGTTTAAATGCCTCTTTAACCGCATCACCAAACATTTGGAAATGATTTTATAAAGAACATTGCATAATGCAATTATCTATAATCCGAAAGGGTTGTAGGATTAGTAATTTTTGGAATCATACAAATGTTAGTGTGGTTAATGTCAGCTTTCATAAAAGATGTCTCAAAAAAAGATTTGACTTCCCGAATCACGTCTTCACCAACCACATCCCAGCATTGTTTATAGAAACGTGCCGTTAAACCATCAGGTCATAGGGCTTTATCATCACCAATTAGACAGACCGCATCATAGATTTCCTTGCTTGTAAAGTCTTGAGTTAAGTCCTTGTTGACAGTATGAGTTACCTTAGGGACAAAGTCAGCAAAATCAATGATAGAGATAGGTTGACCAGATATTTTGTAAACATTAGTGAAAAACTGTTCCGCGTGAGCTCCAATATCCCTATTTCCCCTATAAATTGAATCATTCTCATATTTGATAGAAAGTATATAGTTTTGGAAAAATCTAGATTTTTTATTTGAACGAATAATTTTACCGAATATACAAAATAGTTTAAATTTCAATTTTAAATATATAAACTTTTACAAGGTTTCAAATATTATAAATCTTTAAACTTTATATGTTTAAAATAGTAATGAGTTTAAAATTTTATACAAAGTTTAAAATATTATTAATAGTTAGAATTGGCAATAGTCTTATGTAGTATGAGTTATATAGAATTGTTAATCTTTTTGACACCAATAAATATGTAATTCTAATACTAAATTACTAAATTAAACATGTACCACATGTTAAATCTAAAAAACACCAAAAAACATTAAATCATATAATTTTAACACTAAACTAAAAACTGTAAAAAAATGTAACATTAGCATATATATAAATAAAAATTTATCTCTCGGTGTATTTCGGATCCAAATCTAATTTATACAAACGACTAAATTTGTAGCGTTCTGATTACCGATTTTGCAACTACGAATATCTAAATATACAAAATAATTGTCTGATACATACTTCCAAATATTTCAGTTAAACTAGTTGAAATTTATTCTATAGCCACGGCACCGTCACAGTCATTCCGTGGCTAGTTTCCAATAAGTCACGATATTATCATCAAATGCCACAGAAAAAATAAATCTCAAAAACGTGACATTTTCGTGGAATAATCGTGGCTTATTCTGCCACAGTTAAAACGTAACAATAATTGCCACATTTTTTTGACGACATATACGTGACTGATTTATCGCGAACAAACACCGTGGATAAACCGTGACTAACGAGCCACGATATAGCCACATAATATTCGTGACTATAAGGATGGTCAAATCACATAATTAGAAATCTCAGCCACAAATATTTTGTAGCACTTTCCGTGACATTTCCACCAAAAGAATCGTCTACTCAGTCTTAGACTTCGTAGTGGAGCAGAGAATATATTTGAAAACTAGTCACGGTCTTAAAAACGTGACTATTCGTGACCTCTTATAGCCACGAAAGTTGTCTGTAGATTATCTGTGACTCTGTTTTAGCTCCACAAACCCAAAACCCTCGCTCCAACCGCATAATTGTTTTATTTTGTCTTCATTTCTTATCTTCACTTCTCTTCCTTTCTTTTTTTTTGGGCAAACCACTTCTCTTCCTCTCAAATTTCTCAATCATTTTCTCTTTTGTTTATTAGTTCTTATGTCTCATTATTTTTGATCGATATAAAGATCCAATCACAAATTGTGTAACAAATGAATTTTATGAGGGAATTGAAATATTTCTTGCATTTGCTTTTAATCAAGCGTCTTACAAAGAGAGAGGTACTATGTTGTGTCCTAGTGCAAGATGTAAAAATGGAAAGCAACGTGATGCAAAAACTATATTTAGTCATCTTTGTCGAGTTGGGTTTAAGGAAAACTACTATGTTTAGTCGCACCATGGAGAACATTATTATGATGTTGGCGAATCTTCGAGGGCAAATCATTTTACCGATGAAAAAAAAATGTGGGATGGAAAACCTACAATTTTCCGACAGATAATTATCAAAATTTTCCGTACGGAAATATTAATGTGGGACAAAATGTGTCATCGCCCCATGTCATGGAGAATGTGATGAAATCAACCAACAAAGAGCCATATCACGATAGCGTTTTTCAAGCTTTTGAAGAAGCCAATCAACCCCTTTACGATGGTTTTGCTGAAGGAATATCTCAACTATATATATATGTGGTTTCGCATATTTTGAAAGCAAAGAGCGATTACAACATGGCTAAGGCATGTGTGGATGAGATATCGCAGACTTTTAGAGATGTGTTGCCCAAGCCAAATACAATGCATGCATCATATTACGAGACAAATAATTGACATGAGCACTTGGGCTACTTGTTGAAAAGATTGACGTTTGTGAGGATAATTGCATGCTTTGTTGAAAGGAAGATCGATAACTAATATGTTGCCGGTTTTGTGGTAAAGATAGATACCACCAGAACAGTGGGAAGGGAAAAAATCGGCCTAAACAAAGAATGATTTATATGCCAATTACAGAGCGGTTGAAGCGGCTTTACCAATTAGAGAAAACTGCATCCCAAATGCGATGGCACACTGAACATTTGTCTCCTGAAGGAGAAATGCTTCACCCGTTAGAGGAGTAGCATGGAAGTATTTTAATGAGGTATATCCCGAGTTTGCTGCGGAAAGTCGTAATATTTATCTAGGCTTATCAGCTGATGGATTTAATCCTATTGGTATGAATGGTGAGGCATACTGAGTTTGGCCTGTGATCGTCACTCCTTATAATTTGCCCCCCCCCCCCCCCCGTCATGTGCACGAAAAGAGAATATTTCTTTTTATCGGTACTAATTCACATGCAAAACTTCCAAAGAAAATTCTACATATTTATTTTCAGCCGTTGATTGAAGAATTGCAGAGTTTGTGGAGTGACGGTGCGGAAGCATATGATATATCAAAGAAACAAAAGTTTACGATGCGAGCTGCATTGATGTGGACAATCAGTGACTTCCTGTTAATCAAGAAGACATTTAACACTTGGGTTACTCGGGTTACTCGGATTACAGGTTACAGGGTTAAATGTAGGTTACTTGGGTTACTCGGGTTACAGGTTACTTGGGTTACTCGGGTTACAAGGCTGAATGAGGGTGCTGTTGGTCTTTGTGCACAACCCATCTCAGACCTAGATTATGTTCTCTATATAAACGTGTGTGCCTCCTCATTGTGTGATACACATCTTTATTCAACACATTTTAAGTTTCTCTCTATTCTTAAATCATGTTTCAATCAATCTTTCCTACTTAAATATTCTCATGGTATCAGAGCACGTTCTTAATCTGTTTCGATTTCCAAATACTCTGTTTTGGTTCATCGGTTCTCTGTTTTCTCTTTGTCTCTGTTCGAATCTGGCTTCTAAACAAGTTGTTCGATTTCTTCTTCTACTTCTTCACGAAAAGGCATCTGTTTGTGAAGGAGAGTTACTACTGGTCTGTGACAAAGCTATTCATCGTAAAAGCCTCAACCTTTCTGAGTTCTTTGTGGATTAGTGTCAAAGCGGGTTGAAGAGGAGAAGTTTTCAGGCGTTTGGTCTTGTGTATCCAAAGGTTTGAGCTTTTATCTTCTTTAGGTCGAGATTCTTAGATACTTTCAGAACTAGGCTCAGAACTTAAGCTTCGGTAGAGTAGTAGTTGCTGATTGGTTTGTTTGCGGTTGCTTATTGGGAAGAAAGTCGACACCTTTTCGGTTTATTTGTGGGTATTACATCCTGAAACTGTTGAAGATGGCTCTCACAGTTCAGAAAACGAGTGATACGTTCAAGGACTTGAAAGACTTGAAATTCGCAGTCACGTTGAATGGTAACAACTATCTGTTGTGGAAGAGAACCACAACAAATGTATTGGGAGGAAGGAAACTCACTAAATACATAGAAAATACCTATGAAGAAGAAAAGGCTAAAGAAGAGAACTTGAGTGAAGATACTTGGAGGCAGAATGATCTGAATGTTTTAAGCGCTCTACATTGTTCTCTAGACGCTGCGATCTTGGAAGGGTATTCGTATTGTGAGACTTCAAAGGAGTTATGGGACACTCTAGCTAATGTCTTTGGCAATGAGACTAATCTAACCCGAGTGTACCATATCAAGAAAGCTCTTGGTGAGCTAAGTCAAGAAGAGAGTGATTTCAACACTCACTTTGGAAAGTACAGGTCGCTTGTAGCTGAGCTTGAGATGTTAAGACCCTTCACTACTGAGGCAAAGGCTCTTAAGGATCGTAGAGAGCAAGATTTGGTCTTCGGTTTGTTGCTGACATTAAACTCGAGCTACACTGATGTGATTCAGCATATACTAAGAGATGACAAGGTGCCAACTCTAGAACAAGCGTGTGCGAAGATTCAGAAAGAGTATGGAGCTCAAGGACTGTTTAACAGCAAAGGAAGTCTCCCGACTGCAAACAAGGCTGGAGTTGTCAAGCAAGAAGACAAGAAGACATGGGTTTGTGACCATTGCAAGAAAAAAGGTCACTTGAAGGATAAATGCTGGCTTCTTCATCCCCATTTAAAACCAGAAAAATTCAAGAACTTCAAGCCAAAGGCAAATGCGGTTAATGGAAGTGATGGTGGGTCAGAGAATGAAGAAAGAGCTATGGTTCAGTACGGGCAAGAGAAAGCGATGCAGGCCATTACACAAGGCAAGAGTGGCGCATCTACCTCACAAGCTCAGGAGACTATTGTCATGAACAAGGCTGACCTCGAGTCTCTCCTCCAATCCATTGCATCTAAATTACACACTGGCGGTATTTCTTTCTTAACTTCTTATACTCGTGATAAAGATTCATTAGTATTAGATTCAGGGGCTTCTCACCATATGATTAGTAACCCTAGGTTGTTAGAGAACATTAAACCGGCCTTAGGTAATGTTAAAGTTGCAAATGGACATAATGTTCCAATAGAAGGCATAGGTTGCATAGATTTGTTCAATAAGAAGTCTAGTGCTTTCTATATGCCTAAGTTCACTTCAAAACTTCTCTCTGTTAAGAAAACGACTAAGGACTTAAATTGTTTAGCTATTTTTAGTCCTAATGACTTGAAGTTGCAGGATATTGAGAGTGGAAAAGTGTTTGGGCAAGGAAGCACCAAGGATGACTTATATGTGTTTCAAGACATCTCTTTCAATTCTGTTTCTAAGAATAATGTTTCTTCTATCTTTGCAAACTCTGTTAAAACATCGGTTGTATTGTGGCATGAGAGACTTGGCCATCCACATTCTCGAGCTTTAAGTTTATTAATGCCTGGTTTTTCTTATGATTGCGCAAATTGTGAAGCATGCATATTAGGCAAACATTGCAAAGTTGTTTTTCCTAAGTCTAGTGCGATTTATGAAAAATGTTTTGACCTTGTGCATTCTGATGTGTGGTCTTCACCTTGTGCATCTAGAGACAATCATAAGTACTTTGTCACTTTTATAGATGAGAAATCTAAGTATACATGGGTAACTTTGATGCCATCTAAGGATAGAGTTTATGATGCGTTTATAAACTTTCAAAACTATGTGACTAATCACTTTGATGCAAAGATTAAGATTCTTAGAACAGATAATGGAGGTGAATATACAAGCAACAAGCTCAAAGAACACTTGAAGAAATGCGGAATCCTTCACCAAACTAGCTGTCCATATAATCCACAACAAAATGGAGTTGCTGAGAGGAAGAATAGGCATTTAATGGAGGTGTCAAGAGCTATGTTATTTCAGAAACATATGCCAAAGCGGTTTTGGGGAGATGCGGTGATGACAGCATGTTATCTCATCAATCGAATACCGACACGTATCCTTGATGATAAATCTCCATTTCAGATTTTAAACAAAACTATCCCTAACATTGATCATTTGAGGGTCTTTGGAAGTCTTTGTTTTGTGTTTGTCCCAGGTGACTTGAGGAACTAGCTGGAACCCAAGAGTAATAAGTGTGTTTTTATTGGATACTCAACAACTCAGAAAGGTTACAAGTGCTTCGATCCAGCCAACAATCGATATTATGTATCAAGGGATGTCAAGTTTATGGAAGACAAGGCCTACTTTGAAGAGAAGAGCTGGGAAAGCGTTAAGGACCTCCCTAATTCTACTTCAGATCGTGCTCAGAGTCTTCGGCATATTCTAGAACATTTGGGTAATGTAAGCCCTCCACAAGAAGATAAGGAAGCTACACCAAATGATGGTAACAATCAAGCCCAAGAAAGCGGTGATAATACACCACAAGAGTCTCTGGATAATCAACAAGAGAGTGGTAGAGAAGAAGGGTTAAGTGAAGAAGTGGAAGAGAAAGATCCATCTAGTGAAGGTAACATTATTCAATCATCAAGAGGAGATGAGACTTATCAAGCTCCACCAATAACACGAGATCCTATCTATACTCGGGAGAATCCAAGAAGGAGTACAAGAGAAAGAAAATTGAAGAAGTGCCTCTATAATTGCCAAGCCGTGGCTCATCCAATTCAAGCAACATTTTCGATTGACCTTCTTCCCGAGGAACATAAAGCTTTCATTAGTAAGCTAGATGTGGAATTTATCCCACAAAGCTATGAAGAAGCTAAAGAAAGAAAGGAGTGGACGAATGCGGTAGATAATGAAGTACAAGCTATGATAAGGAACCATACATGGGATGAAGAAGAGCTACCAAAAGGAAAGAAGTGTGTTAGCTCAAAATGGGTATTCACCATTAAGTACAAGAGTGATGGTGAAATTGAAAGATATAAGGCTAGGCTGGTTGCAAGAGGGTTCACACAAACCTATGGTGATGATTATAGGGAAACATTTGCTCTGGTAGCTAAGCAACACACGGTGAAGGTTGTTCTATCTTTGGCGGTTAATTTGGATTGGGAGTTGTGGCAAATGGATGTCAAGAATGCTTTCCTTCAGGGGGAGTTGGAAGAAGAAGTCTACATGTCACCTCCTCCGGGTTTAGAAGACATAGTGGATCCGGGAAAGGTCTTAAGGCTTCGGAAACCAATCTATGGTCTCAAACAGTCTCCAAGAGCTTGGTATCACAAGCTAAGCTCCACCTTATTGGCTAATGGCTTCAAGAAGTCACATTCGGATCATACTTTGTTCACTAAGCAAGATAATCAAGGCATAGTAGTGGTATTGGTCTATGTTGATGACTTGATTATCTCGGGAAGTAACAAAGAAGGGATCCAAGCGATTAAGTCTTCTTTACACTCACCCTTTGATATTAAAGATTTGGGTGTGTTGAAGTATTTCTTAGGGATTGAGGTGTGTAGATCCAAGGAGGGACTGTTTCTCTCACAAAGGAAATACGCCCTCGATCTCCTAAAGCTTACAGGGAAACTTGGAGCTAAACCAGTGGATACACCACTAGAGCAAGGATACAAGGTCAATCGAAAGGGGGAGAAGGATGATACTCCATATCATTGCCCGGAACAGTATAGAAGACTTGTAGGTAAGCTCATATATTTGACATATACTCGGCCTGATCTCTCTTTTGCCGTGAATCAGGTGGCTCAGCATATGCAAGCCCCTACGGTGTACCATTGGAGTTTGGTGGAGAGAATTCTGAGATATATCAAAGGAAGTCCCGGAAAAGGCATTTGGATGGGAAGAAACTTTAGTACGGAAATTGTTGGGTACTGTGATGCAGACTACAATGGAGATCGCAACACAAGGCAGTCCACAACCGGCTTTTGCACTTTCATTGGTGGCAATCTTGTAACTTGGAAGACAAAGAAACAGAAGGTGGTGTCCTGTTCGAGTGCTGAAGCGGAGTATAGGGCTATGAAGAAGCTCACAAACGAGTTGACATGGCTGAAGGCTCTACTAAAGGACTTTGGGATCGAGCAAAAGACGCCAATTACCTTTCATTGCGACAACCAAGCAGCCATCCATATTGCTACTAACCCCGTGTTCCACGAGAGGACCAAGCACATAGAGACGGACTGCCACAAGACAAGAGAGAAGATCGAAGACGGTACAATCCTTCCTTGCTACACTACGAGTTCGGACCAATTGGCCGATATCTTCACCAAGGCAGCAAGTAACCAAGTTTGTCAATTTATCCATGGCAAACTTGGTCTTGTAGACCTCACACATCCTTGAGAAAGGCTCCCTAACTCGTTGGGACAATACTCTTTTTCCCTAGGCTTGGTTTTGTCCCACGTGGTTTTCCAAGCTTAGGTTTTTAATGAGGTTGTTCTTGCGAGTGCCAAGTTTATACACAATGAGTATTGTAGTATAAACTTGAGGGGGAGTGTTAATCAAGAAGACATTTAACACTTGGGTTACTAGGGTTACAGGTTACAGGGTTAAATGTAGGTTACTTGGGTTACTCGGGTTACAGGTTACCTTGGGTTACTCGGGTTACAAGGCTGAATGAGGGTGCTGTTGGTCTTTGTGCACAACCCATCTCAGACCTAGATTATGTTCTCTATATAAACGTGTGTGCCTCCTCATTGTGTGATACACATCTTTATTCAACACATTTTAAGTTTCTCTCTATTCTTAAATCATGTTTCAATCAATATTTCCTACTTAAATATTCTCACTTCCCAGCGTATAGCATGCTCTCAAGTTGGATGACCCATGGGCGTTTAGCATGTCCATACTATCTAGATCAGACAAAATCATTATGGTTGCAAAATGGCAGAAAGCATAGTTGGTTCGATTGCCATAGAATGTTTTTGCCTGAAGATCATCCTTACAAGTGAAATGTGCAAGCGTTTAGACGAGGCAAAACAATGATAGAAGAACGCCCATCATGGTTACGAAAGAATAAATAACATCGAGTGGTTGTACAGAACAGCCGATTGTGGAAGAAACGGACACGAGAATTATTTATGTAATTTCAGGTAATTTCAGGTAATGTATTATTTATGTTTATTTAAATCCAATTTAAAATTCCATTGATAAAATGCTAATAAGTACTATTTTATATGTGTGTAGAAATTGCACTCTTCTTTCGGGATATATCAGCAAAAGTTTTACTAAATGAAGATGTTACCATGTTAAAAGAAAATATCGCAATGAAACTTTGTAACTTGGAGAAGATATTTCCTCCATCATTCTTTGATGTTATGGAACATCTTCTCGTGCACCTCCCAGATGAAGCGGCTTTGGGTGGTCCAGTCCAATATAGGTGGATGTATTCTTTTGAGAGATACATGTATCATCTAAAGAATAAATTTAAAAACAAGGAACGAATTGCGGGTTCGATAGTTGCAGAATGTTTGAATGAAGAGAAATCTGATGCATCTGCAAATTACTTTGGACATCCTGAAGTTAGAGAAGTACCTGCAGCTCCTGGAGATATTCGATTTACATATTATTATCCAGATGTGCCTAACTTGTTTTACCATGAGGGTCGTGTTAGTGGAAAAGCAATGAATAAATGGTTAACAAATGATGACTACACAGTGCTTCAAACGCTATGTTGCTTAATTGTGACTCATTTGATCCCTATGAAAAGTATTAGTTGTTATCATTTTCTATGGTTACCGACTTACCATATTTAGTTTATGAATTTAAATTATTTTGCTTCCAAAAATGTGTACAAGATGTTTGAAGAGTATATGACGGAGCGCATTCCGAAAATTTCTAGTAAAGATATGCAAATAGCTAAAGACCAACACTTTGCGCCATGGGTTAAAGACAATGGGAGATTAATAAAGTCATAATCATTTTTCTATTATAACAAATATAATAATTAATTGAAAATACTATATTTGGTATTTAATTTGTAGATTAATTTGCAAATCCATCATTTTATACATATGTTTTTTTCTCGTTGATTGTGCAGATGATTGAGTAAGGTTCTGATAAACCACCACCTTTCACAGAACTTGTGCGGAGGACTCGCAATAATAAAGATGGAATTTTCATCGATGAACGAGCTAAGTCCCTTGTCATTGATGTAGAGGAAGTTGTTAAACTGATGACAAGTGGTGATGGATCTCCCAATTCTGTCAATGAAACTGACTCTACTGCTGCTACTCCTACTCACATTCTGCTCAACCAAGAGTATCTCAAGGTACCCTTCAAAATACTCTCATGTTGAATGTTTTGAGAATTAGTAAGTAGTTTTATTTTTTCTTTTCTTTGTTGTTTTTGACTTTTGATATGAATGTTTGTTTATGATTGTTGGTTAATACTTATTTGGTAATATCTTTTCACAGCGCGGTCAAACAAGGAAAGGACGTAGTTATGCAATTGGCAGCGTTCAATACCGGGATTTTAATCCATCTGAGACAGTCTCTGCTTCTCTTCAACACAACCTTGACATGGACATGCGTAGCTCTTGTTTGGAAAAAAACTCTGAAACTGTCAACATTAATTAATGTTGAAACGCTCAAGACTGACATGACGACACTCAAAGATGATATAGTGGCCTTGAAGAGTGAGTTTAAGGATGAGATGGCTGCAACAAGAGCTTCGCTACAAGCGATTCTGCAGGCTCTCGGCGTTAATTCTGCTACTCCCCAACAGGTAAATCATACTCAACCTTATGTTCCTACGACAATGTCTCCCAATCCTACTGTTCTGAATGCCACAATGCCGAATACTGCCTCAACTCCACCTATGACTCAAGCTCAACAAACTGCCTTTGAAGAGTGGTGACCCAAGCTTTACAAGCACTTAGTTACGTAGTCTCCTACTCTTGGTTTCTTGTTTTCATTTTCAGCTTGCTTTTTAAAATATTTGCATCTTTTGAAAGACTTTTATAAGTCTTTTGGAATCTTTTGGATCTTTTGCAAAAATTTTGGCAATGTATGGTAGTTTAGATTTTAAACTTCAAGTTATTAGGTTTCTAAATTTTAGATTACAGATTTCAGTATTTTTTTTTCTTGGCCAATCAAAATAAGTCACAAAAACGTTTGTGACATTTTAATTAGCCACAACAAAAAGGTCACAGTGGTTCGTAGTTAAAAGTATCACGACATGGACAATAAAAAAACGTGTCTTCAAAATCCACAGTTTAGACATGTATAATTCGTGTCAAATAAAGTCACAAAAACAGACATGAATAAAATCGTGGCAAAATGAGATGCAAACATTTATATGGACAACTCGTGACTAGATTAGGCACAAAATATGTGTGCATAAACCGTAGCTATAATGTCACGAAAAAACACGATATATTTTAAGTCACGATTGTATAGACACGGTTGTTTTTGGTGTCTGTTCGTGACTCTTTGGTCATATATATAGCCACAAAATTTTGTTCTTAGTCACAAAAGTTTCCATAGCTATACACTTTGTTTTTACTAGTATATATATATACGTTATTGGTGAAACACATCTTTCAAATCATTTGAACATAACACAATCGTTACTTTTTTCGAACTTAGGGTTACTTTAATATTCATCATGTGCAATGCACAGGTTAATACCTAGTTAAATTGTATTGTTGGTGTCTCCTTAACTCTTTATTTGAAAATCTCAGATTTTTAAAAAAGTAAATGTCTTTTTGTCATTAGTATTTGTTTCTTAATATATTTTCTTATTATCGCAATTTTTCGTTTGAACATTTTCACATATGACAATCTTAAAATAGTTAGATCGCCTTTGAGTTGAGCCTTTTTGGATGGTTAAATCTTTTTTACATAGCATTTTTGTTTCAGAGAGTTGTCATTTTATTTGTAATTTTTCGTTTTGCACATTTTCACAAATAGTTACCAAAGTGAAATCGGGACTGGTCATTAACATGTACGACATAAATTGGCTTAGAACGTGACCTCAATCTTGTCCAATTACTCTACTACATCAAGGTATCAAGTTGTGCGCATCCAGGAATATCAAGTGGCGATGAACTAGTCTCCGTCTTTGATTAGTTGCTCTACTAACTGATTGAGTGTGTTCTTGAGAACCTCCTCAGCATTCTTGGATTCACCGGTATTAAAATATGTAAACTTAACAGAAGGCATAATGCACAGTCACAACTCTTTCCAAGATGTAGTAAAGTGCCCACATATGTAACTTTCTTCCTTTTGCTTATTCAATACAGCCATGTATGATTTGGAGCACATTCTTCCACTTACAAGGATTGGACAAATTTGCGTATGAAGCGAACTATTTCATGATATACAAAGAAAAGAAAAAAAAGACTAAAGGTAAAGGTCCTGTAAGGTGAAATGGCGAGTAAAGAATAATGAGATGAAAAAAAAAGGAAAATAATAGAAGAAACCAAAACGTAATTAGAAAGGAAGATAGGAGGAATTTAATACTTCGTGAGTTAAGAATCGATGTGGCTTATAATTTCTTTTTACTCTATCATTTGTTGATCGGAATCGATGTGGCCGAAGATGTCTGGACAGTCTACCCATAATCCATCCTCTCGGGCTTCCCAGTAACCTCCTTTGTATCGGTATGACTCGCTACCTTTCTCCTTCATGAACCACCTCGGCTTCCATCCTCTCTCCTGCATCTTCCTAGCCTGTCTCATCACACAGCCCAGTTTATAGCATGTGAGTTCTAAATTCTAATTCAGTGTAAATTTCTGAAAACCAAATCAGAGGAACCAAACCATACAAAAAAAACCAATGCCGAGTGGTGGTGCGACTTGTATTACCTGACGTTGTCGCTGTTCCAGCCGCAACTTCTCTGTGTTGGCCATTTCAAACTCTCCATTCTCGAGATACCTCTGGTCCGGTCGCAGCCTTGAATCCGTTGGTGGAAGGCTCTCCTACATCAATTTCTCCTTTCAGGTCAGAATGTCTCCCTAAAAAATTAATTTATCAAAATAATAACAAACAGAATTCTCTGCGGAATTCACCTTAAGCCCAGGCGTAAGCTCATTCAACGTGATTGCAAAGCGTGTTAGATTATACTTTGTTGCGTTTCCAGGAGGTTTGCTCCGTTTCCAGAGAAGTTGAGCTCCTGACATAGCTTCACTCTGTTTCCCTTTCCCAGAACAATCACCCGTCACAAAGTGCATGCTCTCATCCCATTTCCCAAACATCGTTGCCACTGTCTTCCCACTCTTGTCTTGAACTATACCATGAACCTGTGACGAGGACAAATTACTTGATGCCTCACAACTATATTTGGACATAAGAACCTAGCCAAAATATCTCAATCGAAACCAAACTTTACTTTGGAAATAGACAGTAACAATATCTTATTCCAAAGAACAGCATAGATTGAAGTTCTTTAATCACAAAAAGTACGGATTAGAATACTATACCTATATAATATTAATTGGAATTTATATTCTATACAAAACGGAACTAAAGCCAAACCTACTGAAACAACATCATCAAAGCTAACACGTACCTGATGAGGATTTCGGTCTATGATGGACTGCTCCTTGAATTTAAGTTTACATGAGTATTCAGCACTGCCCTCAATACGCATTGTACCGTAGTGATCACAGTACAGTTTACCAAGTATGAGATTGTATATTGATGTAGTCACCTACAAGTTGAAAGAAAGAATAATATTAGTGAACAAAGAATACAAAATGGTTATTTGTTTGGTAAATATTTGATTGGTACCTTGCTCCACTGAAGGATTTCTCCATCATCAAATTGCAAAGTCAATACACCAACAGGATCAAGCTGAATAGATCGACCCCAGAATTTGCTCCTAAGATTGCTATCTCCCCAGAATTTCCATCCCGTGCCATCACAATGGCATGCGACAACCATAGGATGATGACTGACCTGACACCAACATGAATAAGAGGTCTGAATATATAGCTATAGCTAATGAAAACACAGAAAAGAAGATCTGCGTGTTGTGAACTGAAACCTTTTCTGAAAAAAATCGAAGGCCTTTGTCTGGATAGTCTGCCTCGTATGTTTCACCTAACAATGGATTAAAAGGTTTGCAGATTCTTCCTTCGGTTGATGCATACCCAGATACAGCAAAAGCAGCTACATTGAGAATCCTCATGAGGCTATTTCCCTGAAAAAAGTTTCACGTACTGAGCAATATTCAAGATGCTACCATCAGGGATTCAGATGGTACAAGTGTTCAGATGATTTACCCTTTTGCCATATTCAAATGCACGGTCAAGAAGGTATGAATATTCCAAATCCTCAAAACATTTCTGTAAAGAAGATAGTGGCTCGTTGAAGTAAACAGGAAGACAGACTTTTGTTAGGTCCTTGCCTATATTGTCTTTGATCATTGACCAAAGGCTAACACTTTTCTCTTTTTCAACCGGATCAGGTAAATTCTTCCTCCTTTTGACGCGAGGATAGTTGCATCCAATAGACTTGATGGAAGGATCAATATCATCTTCTGACTCAAAGCCATCTTCATCGGAAGAAAATGATGACGTACGAAAACCAGAACCACTACTCTTGAAAGAACTTGAAGAAAGAAAGTCACGTGTATCAAAAAAGGTATTTTCTTCCTCATCAAATTCCTCCTCGGCGGCATCACCGCGTTCATTATCATCATCAGATTCGGTGGCAGTCCCTTCTGAGATTAAAAGGAACCAAGTCAATTGCAAACTCGAATCAAAACACAGGCAGATGAAACAGTTATATGCAGGAATGCTAGGCTCAGGAATGGGATGCTCGGTAACTCACCACTGAACTTCTCGTGTCTCAATTCACCGGAACATCCATTATCAGCCTGTCTTTGACTCTCATCTACAACAGTATTCTCCAGATCTACCTTTTCCGTCTAGAGAATAATGCAGAAAGAGCAAATTCTTAGCAGAGTATAGCCGGAAGAGAGAACAACATACAAACTATTAATACTAATAAACCCTCTTGTAAAGTTAACAGAATTTCTAAAACACTATAAACACATAAGATGCGGGATACGATACCCAGCAAAATGAACAAAATCAACAAATTTCCAGCCAGTACAACACCAATAGATCATAACAGGTCATCCCAGCCACTCCATTACAATATTACCATTGCACACAGATTATAGCAGTCAACCTGACATCTTAACTAAAGAGTTTGAGCAGGTTTTTGTTGGTAAAGTTGTAATACCTCCAACTGCCTAAGAGTATCAATGAGAAGCCACTGCTTCTGCTTGAGAAGCACCAGCTGGCTCTGAAGTGCTGAGAACTCAGACTTCATAATTTGCTCACAGTCCTGAATAGCTAACTCACTAACTCCTTCCTCAATCAACCTTAGCCTAAGCTTCTCCGTAGACATGGCCAAATTGTTAGTCGGAGCCATCAATTCACTATTAGACATCCTTGGAAACATATCTTTAACAGCTTGTAAAGCCTCAACCCAAGTTGTTCGGTCCTCCCGCGTCTCTGCACGCAAGTGAAGCCTCTTGGTGCCAGTAAAAATGGAAAATCTCTTATCATCTGATCTACTCTCTCTAACTGAAGAGACCTACACAAAACAGATACAATCAAAATGAAAACATTCAAACCAGAGAACAACACATATGGCTATGAAACTGATTCAGGACATGATCATGTATCAGACCTTAAGATGCACTTCTCCGAATGGCTTACGACGAAGCTGGCAACTACTACTGCTTCCGCCACGGCGATGGTGCCTAGAGATCATACGAGCAGACTCATCTCCAATCACTTTAGATCCTTTTTCAGTTTCAGGACTAACAAAGATCTTATCAGGTCCATGAATCTTATAATAAGAAAGCACACCATCTTGCAAAACAAACCACCTAGGTCTCCATCCTCTACCATAATTCACCCACTTATACAAAATCCCAGCAATTCCATTC